TCAACATTCTCACCCTCTTTTTCTTTTCATAAGCATAGGTTTCTGATGATCATGCTCCTAAAAATTACTGTCTTCAGACTGCAATAAGGCTGAAACTTAAAATTGAGTATTATTCCTACACATTATTTCTTTCGGAACAATTGTCTCTTGAGTGTTCCATTAAAGCTAATAACTTCCACATCTAGGAAAGCCAAACGCTACTCTTCCTCTTCCATCATTGTAAACTAAATTATTTGTTAATCCGGTTTATAAACCTTATAGTGATGAACCATTCTAAACTCGGCAAAAAGGGCATACCTTTTAGGGTCCCATATAGTAAAAGCACAAGTAAACGGAAGATTATGTAGACCATTAACATCCTTGGGGAAAAAATTGAATAAACAGGAGATTGAAGCAAGGCAGAATTATCTACAACTTAGCCTATTGCCTAAGCTAATTCAGTGAAAATAAGGATAAGGCCAGATCAGAAAAAAATAGAAATGCATAGATCAAGGATCTATCGTAAACCAGAGAAAAAGGGATGGCAAGGAAGAGGGTGACAACGTTCAGAAATAAGGCTAAGAAGCACCTAAAACTTTTGGGGTTTGACGGTCACGTGACTAGGGGAACAGATAATCACAACCGCCACAGAAATTGGGCCTTATGGCCACAGAGACGAGAAACCTAGTAAAGAGGAAGGGATAACAATGATCAGTTTGCTCAGGGTGGGACGGGTTAAATCAAGATAACACGTTAAGGTAATGCCCAATATCCGAAAGGATGGAAATCAGAGCCTAGACTCTCTGCAGATAAGGCGACATTGAATGTGCTACTGGAGGCTTGAGAAATAGGGCCTGGAGTAAGAAATGCATTGGGGCTAGAACCGAGTAAAATCGGTAAACAAGAAAGATCTCAAAGGGATCTACGACAACATAAGGGAGATCAGGATAGGAGGCCCGAGTCAAAGTGGCCAATCGAAAGAGAGGGGGAAAGGTGTGATGATGTCACACTAAACTTGACAAAAAGGAGCATATCTTTTTATGACTGGAATGTAAACGAGTCAGAAGTTGTGAAGTGGCGAGAGTGATACAAGAGGGTAGGGGGTAGATAGAGGGGCCAAGACAGAAGGAGGAGTGACAGCACAACCGTTTCGACAGAAAGTTGGTCAAGGGATTGACTTCACTTGTCGCCTTGACGAGTTGTAGCTTGGTGCTGAGAATGGCAAAACGCACTGATGATGCCGAATATAATGTCAGCGAAGCGTCTGAGAATGTACCAACTCTACGGTTCGACACTGTGCATTATTGTAACTACTATAGAAGAGGACTTCGGGAAGGAATATTGATGAAACTAAACAAAGGATACAGACCCTAATGTTGGCCACATCTAATCAAGTCATAAAAAAAGGATTTATTAAAAATAATATTCGTGAATTTCTTAAAGAGAACGTTTACCTGTCATCAGTTACGGAAGGTAAAGCGAGTAGAGCCCCAGGGCCGTTATGCCTCAGCTGACCTTTCTGCAAAAAACACGTCAAAAATGAACAAAGCTAAAGCCTATCACTCATCAATCTTCATAAATGTCATGTTTTCATACAAGTATTTATATAGGAAGAAGAATATTTTCTTCCTAAATCATGGGCAAACTCCATCATTATTCATTTATCAGAGTTATGCAAAGAATACCATAGAATCGAAGGTGATTAATTAAGGTCAGGAATTTGCCCAATGTGCAAGTCTCCTTTAATGTACATTTTCTATCACTCCTTTAATTCATCACTTTTCATGACGATTCCATGCAAATAAATAGACAGTTGCTTTAAGTAAACTAAGAGATGCAAAAATATGAGACCCAGAAAATCAGTTTTATGTTTTGTTATGTTCTGCCTAAAGGCCTATAGGAGAAAGAACAACTCTGCATCACTTTATAGTTAGAGTAAAACAAGTGGAAAATATCACAAGTCTGTAAATCTTCACCATAAAGTTGAAGTCTGTATCGTCAAATTGTTCTATAAAATTCGCGTAACTGCAAGCCATAAATTGCATAATGATAAAACAAATTATTCAAGAAATTAGTAGAAATCAGATAATATCCGCATAAAGTAAAGCGACTGAAGTTGCCGTTTAGTTATATGCTCAAGATAGGATAAATTGATAGAATACAAATGCATGCATGGTTCTGCGAGCCTCACTCGACACTCAGTTGACTACACCATACTGGGACTCATTAAAACCAGATACCTTATAAATTGGGCTAAAATAAGTTAGGAGAAGCAACGGCTAGATAAAGACATAAAAATAGTTAGCATTTGCAGCCATCATCATTTAACAAGCAGGAAAGGAGATTAAACTAAACAGGCCACAGTTTAGAAAACACGCCACCATGGCAACCACCCAGGCAACCTGAGCCTAAGGATTAACAAAGGGCTTTAACACGTAAACAATAATGTTATAAAATTGACTTCATTTTGAATTGAAGAGGACAACTTAGTAATGCCCTTTTTGGAAGCATAAATATTTCAAATAAATAAAATAGTGAAGTAAAGAGGCGGGAAACACAGACTTTGAAGTCATTTGCAATTCGTGGCCCCCTCCCTAATATTCATTGTAAGTGTGTTTCGAGAGTTTCAATACAGCTTGAATAAGAGTTTCCGGGTTCGATTCCCGTAAGGGATGATGATGAGACTCAACAGAGGTCGAAACTTCAATCATGCTTACAAGAAAATGCCTCCTGGGGAGCAAAGCCGAATGAAATTGATTGGAATAAAGGGACTTAATCATAAAATTTAACTATACTATATTTGTATTGCCGCAAGCAAAATAGGGTCACTATAACTCTTAAATACTCGCCTAATTAATTAGGTAATTAAATAAATGAGATTCGATCGTCACTGAAACTTTGTGTCTGATGGCTTGGTGATGAGCAAGACTACGATTCATGCAAAATAAATGCAATTTGATGAGTTGGGGTACAGAAATGCGACAATTAAACTGCCGGTGCAAGTAATAATTCAAGTTCTACTCTTCACTGTTTGTTCGGATTAAAAAGCAGGATAAAGCTAATAGGGAAAAACGAGACTGCAATTTAAATACACGCCCACGTAAAACTATTTTTCAAATTCCTACTCAAGGTTAGGAGAAATAAATGTTTGGATCTGTGCTATAAAAGAGAACAAACCAGTGGTGCTACTCTCAAAACCCAGTTTATTTACATCAAATTTTATCTTAACACACCGCCAATCATTGCTATTTAACAGCCTTCATGAGTCTGGTAGAGAAACAAAATCATTATAAGAATTGTAAACACAGGATTATCAATGGAGATATGCCCAGACCAGCTGCATGATTAAAAAAAGGGAGCACAATTTAGGTAACCGACAATGAACTGAAGACAATACTCGACTTTGCAAAAGAACTTCTAATGGAATAAAAAAAGGTTATATGAAACTAAGTAGGAGGTTCTTTCTCTGATGCAAGACTGTTCAACTGATAAGTTAGTTTATTATAATTTTACTGATGAAAGACTTAGTCTTATATTTCAAGAAGTGCGCTAGTTTTAACCGATTTTGTATTAGACTGGTAGCGACTTTTTACACTACAACTAAAATAAATGTTTAAACTCTACAATCAACTGTACTTCACTATGCATCTTAAAAGGGCGTTCTTATCTTAGCGGAATTGCAGTTCCAACCTTGTAGAGGTCTCATCGAATTCCCTACAAATTCCTGAGAGGTCTTAGACATCTTCTTTGCCCTAAAGCTTTGCTTTGCGTGTAACATAATGAATGTCTAGATGATAAAGTATTTGTATCTTAATCCACCTATTCATGGTTGGAAGAAGTTGAAAATACAGTTCATATAGGATGAGGATGGTCTTTTCGAATGCAAGGGAAAATCCAGCACAGCAAATAATCTAGCCCTTTCTTTAATTCCTAGTGAGGAGAGTTACTAAGATTCCAATAGGAATAGGGACACTCTACAGGTTCATGGTAGCTGCTAAAAACTGCAGTTAACGGCAAAATCGTGTTGTCTAGTGATACTCCTGAGGTACTTTTGTAGTCAGGGGCTGGAGTAAGCATCCTCCATCGAAAAATAATTAGATACTTAAAAATGTCAAAGTTCCAATGATAGAAATCATATGGTGGAAAGTGTGATCTTTAGTGAATTATGAACCACTAGCTTAGCAGACTGAAGTATCATGATGCGTGATGTATTTAACACTATATGCATGCTAATAGGACTTGTGAATCCATTGCCTAAGTATAGCAATATTGAATTAAGGACATTTGCTAAATAACATGCGGACGATGTACTTAAGCCTTTCATAAGAATGACTTAAGAAAGAAACTACAAAACAAGCTGATGAGATGTCCTATGCATTGTTATAAATACTCACTCTGTAATCCTTTGAAGATTGATTTATAAAATGAATTTCGTAAATGCATTCAAGATTAGGGATAATTAGGTAGATAGAAAAATTCTTATTGGATATGTCAAAATACGATTTTTAGAATTAACTCAAAATATTTAATCCAATGTCGGCCTATATCCCTAGCATCTAAGCCCAATTATCATTTATCACGTTTATAAAGAAAATTAAAGTTGAGAAAATAATCAGGTAAAGAGTGATGAAAGTCACTGGAATAGATTATCATAAAAATTAGTCCCATCTCTATGCTAAATGCTTAGTTAAACTATCTTCCATAGGATGGTTTCTCATTCTTAGCTAATAAGAAATAACAGTGATACTAATATTAGATGGTAGTCTCGAAACTCCCCTTACATACGAAAAATAAGTGATACTAATGACATACTCTTCTGAGAGTTATCTATGCTAGAGAAATAAAATAAAAGGAGCATAATTATAGCTAGCTGACTCATAATCGAGGCATTGTTTCTGCCATAAATTTTTACTTTTAATGTAGGAAGATTTGTCTAAGATACGACTACTATTTTTTTACATTTTGAGAACCAAATAAATTCAGAAACTTATTTTTTTCTGAACAGAAACGAACACTACATTTTAATTGCTCGTGCATAAATCCAAAGTCTTATAGATGGTCAACAAATAATATAGTAAAGTAGAGCGCTACTAGTCAGCAAATTATTTTTTATATAGTTTAATGCCTACCTGGGAAGAGGTTAGCTGAGAGAAAGGATCGTTAAGAGGAGCTAGCATGTTCAAAGAAGTTGAGGCTGAGATAGTGGGTTCGAGTGCAGGAATAAGGGCAAAGGGATCCTGGCTGGTGTCTTGATCGTACTTTCCAGGAAGCGTAAAGTCATTTGGAGTTGAGGAACAAGGCCCAGTACTTTGGCTAATCGCACCATAATCGAATTCAGACTCGTTGAACGAGGGTGATAATCTAGAATTATTAGTGCTGGTGGGAGGAGCCAAATCAGATGTATCATTCTCTATGCTGATGGCACGAAATTTCTGGTGATGGGACAATTCTGTTTGGACTAGGAAATTCGGTGGATTCTAAAGGCAAATACAAGAAAGAATACACTGATATAAGCCTTCATAAAAATGAATTTAAAAAGAACATTTTCCTAAAATATTTAATTGAGTTAATTACTACCTGTATTCTATTTTAAATTACTAAAAAAAACCTCTATTCGATTGGTTATAATTATTTAAGTATATGTGTAAAGGTCCTAATTCTCCCTCAGTAGGAGTGACTTAGTGGCGATCGCATAATATATAACTCAAAAAATAGCCTAAAATCTTTCTGTTCCTTAGATTGCGGATGTTTTGTCTTACCTATGTAAATTTTTGGATATTAATTGGCTTTTGAAAATAAAACATAATCTTTAATAAGAAATGCCACACTATTTACTATTATATCACTATTGTGCGGCATCATATAATCAAAATATTTGTAAAATTTAGCAAGTCAGATTTAAAATAAAAGCATCTTTGAGGAATACTTCAATTGGTGCTACTTTAAACGACGTCATTACTTTGCTTGGGCTGAAAATAGTGCAAGCCACACATTATTTAGAGGGTTTCCTTTGTCAGACTTTGCAATTATTCGGCCAGTAAGCCCCGGTAGAAAGAGTGGTAAAGATGAAAATAGTGGAATAATAGTGATAATTAAATAATAAAGCAGAGCCGTGATTAAGATTCTGCTAACTCTTATTTGGAAGCAATGAATAAATACGAAGTGGCCCGCCTCCTTGCGGGCCTCAAGTTCAAATGCACCTTCATGAACTTAGTTTAATTAGTTTTTGTTGGCATGTCCTTGTTGTCCAATCAGTATGCATGCCTCAATGCTTCTATAACCAGAGTCTGCTATATTATTACGCAGTCCTCCTTCCCTGGGTCTTATCAAAGTCTTCCTCTTGCCCCTTAGTATCCTGCTGCTCTCTGCCTGGTTCAAGTATTTCACTCGACCCCTGCCACCCCATTTATGCTACTTTAGGCGTTATTATCCATCCCTTGCGTCTGAGTAAGTAATACGATGCTAAAGCCTCTGGGTAATTCTCATATTAAAGCCTTTACTACATGAGATAATAAAAATGTAATCAGGAATCAAGAGGACGACCAAAAGTGGATGTGCATGCCCCCCTGTAAACTGAGCAAGAAATAGCGACTGTCGCTAATCAAATCGAATATCAACGTGTCAGCAGAGGATAAGACAGCACTTTTCCCCAGCCTGACGAAAATGGCAACAAACTGGAATGCTCGGCAATTTATCGCATCGAATGCGGCAAATGTGAGCAGAAATATATCGGTGAAATATGAATAAAAATCAGCCTACGAGGCAAGAAACACCAAAGATCCTGCAGAAATATGGATACTGAAAGAGCTGAAATAGTGGAGCACATCTCACGGACGGGACACGAAATCGAGTGGGAATCGACAAAAAGACTGGCTGTATAAGGTAAAAATATAAGAAGATGAAAGAGACGAGAAGTCATCGATATCCTGATCAGAAAAAATCAAGTGAAGAGGAGACTTGAAGAAGGCAGGATTAGCGAAAACTTTGCATACTGCCTAGGGAAACTTGGAGAATATGGAAAAGCAATATCAGCAAAAAGAAGACGACTGGACATAGGTCATTTTAGAAAAGAAATTACAAGGAGATCAGAGATGAACAATCGGAAACCAAGAGGAGACGTCTACAGTGAGCCTAGTCGAATCAATTATAACTGTCACATTTATTGGTCAGCACACAAGAGACTAGGGCATAAAAATTCATAGACTTGATATTATGGATAGAAGAGCGAGAGATACGGCGGAGATCAATGATAGTTGGCTATTAGTAGATAAGTTTGTCCATAGATGTGTTTCATGAAGTAAAGGCTTGACTACGAGTCTTACTCGGTGAACATGCGGCACATTGACAAGGGAATCTGCAGCGCCAAGTTAGGTTTCCATGCTCCTTGAACATCCATAGCTTGAAAAGTTGCTCAATAAGGCTAGAGAATATTTTCTATAATAACTATGAGGCATAATTTAAAATATAGCGCCTCGAGTAACACGGATGCGCTGGAAGCGATAAAGTGAAATCATTGAACCAGGCAAATAAAGGAAGGATCTTACGGATCCTAAATCAACACTTCCAGTGCAGTATGAAGGGACGAGGGAACCAGTGGGGACTATGAATAAGTCTTACGTAATCAGTTCAAAAGGGCTTAGGTAAACAAGAACTTGTGATATTGAAGTAGTGATACGAGGATATAGGATAGGTGAATATTCCAGGACAAATAGAGAGATACCACAACTGTTTAGCAGACAATTGGTCAAAGTATCGACTTTATTTATCTCTTTGACGAGTTATACTGTGGCGCTAAGTATGACAAGGCTCACTGATGATGCTGACCACGATGACGGCGAAACCTCTTGAAATGTAACAAGTCCACGATCCAACTCTGGAATTGATCATGCATACTATGGACTCCGGACAAGGTGCGTTCCTTCAGGTCTTTCCTGTCAATGTTATCTAGTTGCGAAAACAAGGTCAAAGAATGACTAAGCTTTTCCTATGTTTAATAAGGGATTTTCTTTCGGATGCCGCTTACTTGAATGTCGCCTATAGATAAACTTATTTTGGCTGTACTGATACTCACTCATAGTTATAATAGATAGAGCAAAAATAAGTTATGGTACAAAATAAGCATTACAAAAACAAATAGCCTCATTCGACTACATACGGGCAAGGTTAAATCATGCTTTGTTTGTGATTAGGTTCTCGAGTTGGTTATACGCCTCATATCAATTTGATATGATTGAAAATTAGAAACAAGCCAACTTTATCTAGATTCAAAATGAATAGCCTTACGGGTATAAATGTAAATATCCATTACAGAGTTTTAAAGGGAGATCAAATGTAAAGTAAAACCTAAATGTGTATTTAAAAATGTAAACCAAATAACCAACTGCAAAGATAAGTAATAATTTTGCAAGTAAACATAGTATGAAAATGGAAATAAAAAGGCATAGTGAGGAGAATCAAAATTGAAAGCACAAATATTTAAAAAAGGATGATATAATAGTTTTAATATAGAAAAAAGAAAATGTAGCGAATAGTGACAAAGCTAAAATAACGCAATGTATTGTTAAAAAACGAGATAGAAAAATGATATCTTACTTGAGGAAGAGACGGTATTTTTATTATAGATTTGAAATATATCATCCTC